ACATTAGAATAGGTAGAGTGAAGTAATGGGAGGGGAGGGGAGGGGAGGGGAGGGGAAGGGGAAAATGGAAGGTCAGCAGAATAAAATAGACATTATTATTGCTGTGGGTATATACGTGACTGCATGACCAATGTGATTCTATAACATGTACACTCAGAAAAATGAGAAATTTGTATCCCATCTGATTCAAATGTATGATATGTCAAGATCATTGTACTGTCATGTGTAACTAATTAAAACAAATACAAAAATAAAACTCATAAAAATTAATTTAATACCTTAAAATTATAAAAAATATGGTCCTTTTAATAAATGAAGAAAAATTGAAAAAAAAAAGAATCCACCTGTCAGTTTCTCAAGTTCATTCATTGTCCTTAACTATTTTAAATCCATAAAAGATTCACAAAGCCTACATTATCCTTCACAACAAATGGTCCCTCCCTTTTGATTGACAGTATCATCTCATGCAGTAAGTTTTGTTAAGGCTATAAATTCTACATTATTATATATTAAAATTAATAATGAAGAACAAATAAATGGAAGGTGGTGTTTGAGACATTTCTGTTCAAGAAATGATAATAAAACCATAATTTCTATTTGTAAAGATGTCATTTAACTATTAGTGAATTCACAAAAGAATCATAGTAAACAAATTCAACAAAATCAAATTTATTTTGTTTTCTTTTAACTCATAGTTAAAGAGTCTTTTTCAAAAATATTTTGAGGCTATAGCCTCAGATTTTGTGTATATATATTTTTAATTTATTTTTATTTACAATCATTTCTATGACATGTTTTCCACTTTGTGAATATATAACATTTCATTTATGAATTTCCTATCAATGAACATTTCAGTTTGGAGCTCTTTACAATATTTTATTCCCACTTTACATCAGTGCTGCTATTAACATCCATGCACATTTCTTTGTATTCATCTGTGTATAAAATTCTGCAAGCCACCAAGGAGTGAAATTGCTTCAACATGTCTTTTTGTTGTTGTTTGGGTTTGAGTTTTGGTTTAAATATTGCACAAAAGGAAAAGAATGCGTTGCAAAACAAACTAGCCTAAGATCTCTTGTCCTTAATATATTTTTTTCATTTCCATTAGTATTTCAGGTTTATATAGGACTGACCTATCTCTTATGCCTCAAATGTACACTTATGACTTGGTGACTATGACCTCCATTTCTGCCTCAACAGGTTAAAAAACTGTCAGAACACATTTGTATTTGCAGCAACTTCCCGGATCATACATTTTAAGGTTTCATTGAGCTACTAGATGTTCCCTCCAGGTCTTTCCATGTACTTCACAACAATATTCCAGTCTTCTCAGAGACACAATTCTATGTTAACAGACACATGATTCTCTTCTACATAAGGACAACTAGTACTAAAAGGTATTTTTAGATTTTTTTCTTCTCATCTAATTATGCTGCCCCAAAATTTATAAGTTCAAGCACTGACCATAAATGTGAGATAGGGCCTTTAAAGAGGTAATTGAGGTTAAATGGAATATACAATCTTGGTCCTTTTAAACCAAAGAAAGTATTTAAAGACTAAAAACACAGAGGAAAGGACAGGTGAGCACACAGTAAGAAGGTGACTATGTTCAAAAATGGCTTAGAGTCCTCAAGAGAAATCAACCCTGCCAGCAGTTTGATCCTGCAAATTTAAGCATCTAGAAATGTGAGAAAGTATTTATATTGTGTAACCTGTACTGAGATAATTTGTTACAATATAACTGAGTTGAGTGGTTACCAGAATACAGCCAGATTCTCAATAGGTTCTTCTTCTAATTTGGTACTTTGGCTTTCCCCCCATTCAGTTAGAAGAATCATTTTAGATGAGATTGACAAGGGCTCCAAAGAGATAACTCAATTTCTTTGTCACTCAAACCTTAAAACTCTTCTTCTCATCCTGAACCCCATGACCAGCCCTACAGAAATTCTTGGCCTAAATGGATGAGTCAGAGAGGCATCCAGCTAGCTGGTCCCACAGGCCACTCACAAAGTCCATATTATAATCCCTTCACATCATCCCTCAACACAGGTTGGGTGCAAGAGTGGCCCCCTAAGACCATGAGCATGCTCTGAGAGATGAGGTTCCAGTCCCAGGCCTTACCCTGGGAGCAAGATAAATGCAAACTTATATGAAAATAAGCCCTATCACTGGATTGAACCAGAGAGATATTTTGTGACTCACAGGCCTCAGAATTTTTTCTCCTTTCTCTCTTTCTACAAAGTTGAGAGGATCAATCAAATAGTCGACTTCTCAAAAAGGCACAATATTACATCATACTGAGTACCATTTTCACTATTAAATTTATGGCAAAAACTTACATGAGTTTAGTGATAGAGAAAATTAGCATGCCTTCTAAAAATTAAATTGAATCAAGAAATCTAAAAGAATAAACATTGGCACTGTGTTTCTAGCATCACCAGTTGGAGATTGTGAGAAACAGATGTTCTGAGCTGTGGAGCAAAAGTGTTTCACCTTCTACTGAGATTGTAGTGAAACTTTTTCTAAGACCTCCACATTTACCTACATATGATAGACAAGCTTCTGATTGATATTCCCAGCATGTCTGCACCAGAGAAAGTGGTGGTAATGAAAATAGTTTCTGCCTTCAGTACTTTCAGAATGTATGAAAAATATTTAGAATGAAATCACTCAAACTGCCTTCTGCATGAGAATAACATATATCTTTAAAAAAAGATTATCCTGAGACTTGTAATTAAAAAAGAAGTTGAGAGAAAGGAAGGCTGAGGAGACATGAATACTGAGATGAAGCCTGTTTCCATCACTTCTCTCCACTTCATTGTGCCAACTAACAATGGACTCTGAACTCACTGAGTGATGTTAGTCTATTGTACCTTTTTTATAAATTTCTTTTTAGTTATAGAGGGACACATCTTTATTTTGTTTATTTATTTTTATTTGGTGCTGAAAATCGAACCCAGTGTTTCACGTGTGCGATGCAAGCACTCTGCCACTGAGCTAAAACTCCAGCCCCCATTTGTCACAGTGGTCAAAAGGTGTGACTTATGTAGTCCAAGGGGGGGAAATAAAGAATGTCCACGCACTTCTGCCCTAGTAAATGCTTTATTCACTCAAATCACTCAATACAATTTTTATTCTATAGGTTCTTAAGCAAGACAATGATAATTCTTAATGCTAGGCACTGCAATAGACATCATCAATTCACAGCTAACAATTCTAGATTAATTCTAAGCACTGCAAACACACTTAATCATGACAGGATAATGACAGACATTCCCTCTGCACGCCAAGTTCAAGTGTCAGATTTAAAGTCTCAAACCTTAGGCTTTAAGTCCAGCAGATGCACACTCACCCAAGTCAGGAACAAAGGCAGACTTCTCCTGGGGTGGAGCTGACAGCCAGCTAAGGAGAGGGTCTAGAGAGAAGTTGTGGCTCTCACCAGGGTCAATATGTGGCTGTAGAGTTTGAGAGTGGTGAGGAAAATGCAGAGGATCAGCAAATGAAGAAAAGTGTTGGGATGTCAGTCCAGGTCCTTATCAGGCTCTCAGCGTGAGAGCATTATTGTCATTATTATCTGTTCACTCGCTCTATTATTTATACTAAATTTGGGGGCTTTTGACCCCTTATCTGCTGCCACTGAATCTCTCAGTGACATCATTTACCCTGGGGTTAAAACATCTCATCTGGTGGTCCCCATCCTGATCTTTTCACCTTTCTCTCTTGTTCATCTCTTTTCCCTCTTATTGGGCAAAGACAGCCTGCCAGAGGCTTCACTTGAGTTTATCAGGGTGGGGAGAAATGACTTATTTGTGCCTGAGAGCCATACTGGAGGGCTCCATTAGGCATGTCTGGCGAGACTGCAGGTTTCAAACTGGAGTTTTTAAAATGGAGTTGCTTAGGCTCAGGCCTAAGGCCATCCTCATACCATTGTACCTTTATAGTTTGCTGTGAGTACCACATAACTCAATTTGTCTCATTTCATTCATATTATAACTTAGGACTGCATGTTTACCTCCAAAAATTCTGTGTCGGAAAAGTTTATTCCATCTCAACATCTCTTAAATATTTAACCTATACTTAAAATTTCCATGTTTGACTCATTGAATTAAAGTGTTTTTCAAATTGAGTTGTTAATTTTATACAAAATATGAAAAATTTCTTCTGATGCCAGCATCCTGATCTTGCTTGAGTTTCTTTTTCTTTAACACATGTAAGACTAGTCCGGTTGCTTCCACATAACCTAGAATGTGATTTCATTTCCATTGCTACATATCCCTGGACATCAAGTATGCAGTTTCTCTATTTCCCCTGAAAATACATTTACTTTTTACATTCTGGGGAGTTTCTGGTAGAATGCTTACCCCACAATTTTCACTCATTAACTTTAAGGCTTTAGTGGAAAAACAGATTAATTTAGATCTATATCACCATTAACAATTACTATCAAAATTTCTATATACTGAACCCAGGAAACTTCATTAATGATTTCAACAATACTTGTTCCTCAAAAGAAGAATATATTAGGATTAGAGAAAGGAAGATAAGTGATTTTCTTAACTCCTTTCAAAGATTCTCTTGGTATCCTGAAGCAAGCTAATTCTACCTAAGAATGAGCCAGCTAGACTATTCCCAAAATTGATATTAGGTGGAGAGCATACATTCTTTCAGAATCTTCATCAGGATGTTCTTGGTGTCCTGAGCAACTAACTCAAGGATGCGCCTATGTTTCATGAATCTGAAGTGGTGGATGACAGGATTACCTAAGAATGGTATATATCTAAAAAGTGTTAGGAATGCCCTCATGATTAAGCAAGTCATGAATTTCATTTTCCAGTCACCTCCACAGAGAGTGTGCAAATCCTGGGACTTCATGATGGTCATGTACTCAAAAGCCCATGTCCCCATACTATGAGCCACCTGCTGAAGTGATGCATCATCCACACCAAAGAGCAATCGGTAGGCTTCCAGACACTTCCCCAAGTCATCAGCATCCCTGATGCCAAGAATATCTTCCACATGCTCTGTGGATAATCTCCCCTTCAAGGAGTTCACTTTATCATTAATGATCTTCTCACAAATGTGGGAAAGCATGACTAAGGGACCATGGCACCTGATGTTAGAGAGGTCTATTTTCAATGTATTCCTAAGCTTTGGGAAGTCATGCAATAAAGGGTCAAGGTTAGATACAAGGAATATGGGGGGTTCCCACACACCCTCCTTATGAAGATTTTCCTTGATATTCTCTTGTATATTCTGCAACATCTTTTCATTTGAGAGAGCACTTGTGCTGAAATCCCTGTCCAGCTTAGTCCAGACAACATAGAACCTCTTTCCCATCCCCTCAATGGCTTTGGCAAGCTTTACATGATTCATGCTGAACTGCTCAGATGCAATGATGATAAAGAGGTCATATTGGCTGAACTGCATCTCATTCAGATAGCTCTCCAGACTTTGAGCAGTAGTCCCCAAGCCAGGCAGGTCCCACAGCACCACATTGGGAAAGTGGAAAGAAGAATAGCTTCCTCTTGTCTGGGTGGTTGTCACCACCCCAATGGGAGCTGAGGCCTTCTCCTCATGTCCCAGGACTCGCAATGCATTGATGAAGGATGACATACCATTGCCTGACTCCCCAGTCACAGCAATGTTTACTTGGGTTCTGGACACTGTCTCTACAGTCCTCCTGAACACGCAGACCACTTCCAACAGCTTTCCTTCTTTCAAGGACTTCTCAATATTTCTGCTCTTCTCTTCAGTTAAAATGTTCCAGCCTGTATGGTATGACACAACAGAAGTGAAGGATGTAGACAATGGAGTGTAACAGGACACGGGGGTTTTTGCCATATTTGTGAGTAGTGGAGCCACCTGCAGAAATAGAATAGAGGGAGTTAGACACAGTGTGACACAGGAATCAAGAGAGTTCACATCTCATTCCCAGGGTTTCAGATATACAACAAAAGAGATAGCAAAGAATTTCAATTACAAACAGAGCAAGCAAAGTATTCATTAAGGAAATTTACACATTCTTAGGGATTATGGTGTTCCTAAGATTGTTTGGGCCTTATGTGTCAATGGTTAGCCCCAAATCAGGACTATGACCCAATGAACTTGAGCAGCAGAATGTCAGGCAAGTCATTGAGGTGGGAGCACACATTCTTATTCTGCCCCATTTTGTGGGAAGAGACTGGAAATGCCGGTAAGACCAGCTTTCCATAGTGAGTAATTCACTGATAAAAATGGGCTAGTCCTCCCTGGGGTTATCTTTTTTCATCAAGAACAGTTCAATTATTGTTAATAATCCTATTAAAAGTGATTTTTTTCTTTTTCTGGCAGTATTGTGTTTCTTAAAAAACTGGGATGATGTTCACCAATAACTACAGCTTCAACAGACAAGTCAGAACAACTTTATGAATAATCTACTGATTTTAAGTCAGCACTTAAATTTTTATATTTCTATGTATAACTGTTGATAGTGTTATTCATATACATATTCAAGACGTTATATGAACATGTTTCTCTTATTAGCTTAATTCTTGCAATGAGATTGAAAGCATTTGTGGAACAGGATTATAAAGACAATTAGTTGGAATTATCCAGTGGATTCGACTCAAGATTGTAACACATAGACTTTTCTTGGCTGATGGACTTTCATAATCCTACATTTATCTGTGATTGCTATGGTACTTTTCTTAAAAGTACTTAATCACCTCTTTGTGCATGAATATGAATTTTTTGAAATTCAAGACCATTTCTTTAGCTGCAGAGTTGCTTTTTTGTGTCTCATAGAATCTTCCTGACCTATAAGGTGCTCCCTAGCTGGCCCACCAATGGGGTCCCCTGAAGCTTCTGAGGTCCTATATGGTACTCACAACTGGTGTAGTCAGGTTTCTGTCCCAGAAGGCCTGCTATGCTTTCAGTAGGATAAATTTCATAACATGAACACATGTAGGTTTCATGGTGCTGTATCTTGCTCTTCACAACTTTCCTGAAGACACCACTGTCCTTGCTCTTCTCCTGGGGTAGTCCCTACCTGCAGCACAACAATACTCTCCATATTCTTCTAGCTGCTGATTTTCTAGCTCCAAGGTCTACATGCACCTTCCCCATGGATGAAATAATCTGAGAATCCCTTGAGGATCAGCTCAGATCTTTGCAACATAGACAAGTTCCTAAAATCCCAGTTTTCTGACTTGTGCTTTGAGGAAATCATGCTACCTGCTCCCAGGATTCATGTGAATATTTCATAGCAGGATCCACAGTATGTTAGAGTCCTCTTGGTGAAGGCTCTTTGGTTGTCTTATAGTCTCTGATAAAGACTTCCTCTGGTTCTTTTTCCTCCCTCCAACTTTAATCGCACAGTATGAAAGCGATATATTTGTGAATCTGTCAGTGCTGAGTCTTTTTCATGCCTTGTCTCATTTAATCTTCCTCAAATCCTAATCTTCAACCTTGATTATGTTTGAAGAAACAGAGAATTATAAATAAATAACAAATCTTGAATTACATAGAAGGTGTGTGAGGGATTCAAAAATTGAACTTCTGAATGTGATTCTATTTTTCTGTCTGGCAAAGATAATCATATTTAATAGAAATCTAGCTCCCTGAGATAATGATTATTGATGCTGAGGTACTTCCCTTGAGGACACTGATTTGGTTATAACAATCAATTGCATTTACAACTACTTAAATTCACCTTTAACAATTTTGGGAGAGAATAGAAATTAGCTTCTGTCTCTTCCTATCATACCATCATTGATATATAATTGTAAAGGAAATTCCAACAGTGTACCCACCAATTGGAGCCTATTCTAGGAGGTTTAGGACAGGGAGGTACCTAATGAAATAATCAGAGAGATACTAGGTGTCCATTACAGACCTCACCACAGTCATGAACCCAGGGAAAAAATATTCTGTGTGAGTTCCAGGTTGTGTGCAAGGAATTTTCTGTCCCTGGATCAGGCTCTGTAGATCTTAGATTAGGGATCTTAGAAAGTCTTAATATTAATGTTAGGGATCCTTTGGGGCTAGTAATCCAGAAAGGATGGAAAGAAATGAGCATCCCCTGAATCATTTCCCCTGATTGGTCTACAAATGATCAAACCTTATATATGGATCTATATCACTTTGAATTCTCTCCTGATAGATCAAGTGAAAGAACCTGGTATTTCAACTTGGTTGAAAGTAGGTGTCTCTCCCACCATGTGATGTCTTCTACCTCATTGAGACTGCAGAGACTCCCCACCAACAAGAAGTGGCACACCAGATGTGGCTATCTGATCTTGAATTTCCCAGACTACAGAACAGTGAGCCAACTAAATCTCTTTTCCTTATAAATTGCCCAATCTCAGATATTCTCCATTAGAGCAATGGAAAATGGACTAAGACAGGTAATGGACCACATCCCTGAATAGGCTTTGCATTTTTAAATGACTGGGGAAAAAAATCAAAAGAAGAACAATATTTTGTGACAAATTTAAAATATGTGAAATTCAGACTTCAGTGTCCACCAGTAAAACTGGGGATACAATCATTCCCATTTGCTTACACGTAGTCTCTGGATGCTTTTGTGCTACAGCAGCAGAGGATCTAGAGAATTCCTAAAAATCCCTACCAAGTAGGGAAGATGATTTCAAGAGGCATTAATGAGACAGAACAAAAGAACAACCTTTACACACAGATATATGATCAGGATTCGGGACTCATCAGAGGTCAGGGAATGACACAGAGCAAAATCTGCTTCCAGAAACCAGAGTGGGGCTTTCTTTATTTGGACTCTGCCTTCATCAACTGAAAAATGTCTTTTTATTTATTTTTTTTAAAGAAAGAGTGGGAGAGAGAGAGAGTTTTTTAATATCTATTTTTTAATTCTCGGCGGACACAACATCTTTGTATGTGGTGCTGAGGATCGAACCCGGGCCGCACGCATGCCAGGCGAGCGCACTACCGCTTGAGCCACATCCCCAGCCCCGAAAAATGTCTTTTTAGAGAACATTAATACTTAGGGAAATGAAGAGTAGATCATCTCCTCCATATAGTATTTTCTACCTTGAAAGTCACCATACCTCTTCCCAAGACCTAAGAGATGGAAGCCCAAGAGAGTGAATATAGTTCTTAAATCCTGATTGAGTGGGTTCTGTTTTCCCACAATAAAATAATAATGATAAATTGGAATTGAAAAAAGAAGATTTGGGAAGTATCAGTTCATGCTTATTATCATACTAATACATACTTGTCACTTCCAATAAAATAATTCCTCTAGATTATTTACCCAATGCCTCTGGTACCTACTAGGTATTTGATCCATTTCTATCTAATGAAAAGAAATATATTTTATAAATCTCTCATTACTAATTGACAGGACAATTAATTCTCCTTCTTTAAATCTGTCACCTGAAGAACTAAAGCCTGTTCCCCACACATCTCTGGCAATTGCTCTCCTATGGGGAGGGGCTGAGACAAGGTATTGACCTGTATAACAAGGATGGGAGAAGTAGGCATTACTCCTACACTTTTTGAGAATATTTATGTAACCAAATCTCACTTAAGTAAGGCACTTCCAACCTGTCTCCTCAACTGAGCACTTACTTCTGTGCTCTGTGAGAAAAGGTATCTATGACCCTATAGCTCTGGACCCAACATCCAGATTATTTGCCCTCAATGCCTGATTCCCTGGTCCATTGCCCTGCACCCTGATGCTGGTCACAACTGTATAGTAGACCCAGATGAGATCAAGTACCAAGGGCCTTTGTAAACAGTGCTCTGCTGAGGTCCATGTATCAAAGAGACCAGGGAAAGACCTGGATAACTCTGGGTGAGGTTGCAGGATCCTCCAGGGAGAGTCAGTATTGAGGGTTAGTATGGGACAGCTTTAAGACTTTGGGGCTCACAGTGCTGAAAATTGGCATTTGCAGAAAGTCTATCAGAGTATAGACTATACTCCCTTCTTCGATGGCCCATCCCAAATTATACCTCTGACCTAAGGAAGGGGAGCAGACTATTCTGGCTTCCAAAGGGAGCCCAACAAGGAGGTTAAATTAGAGGAAAAACAGCTAGGCTTAAAAAGAAGAACAAAACCCTGTGAGTAGCATCTTTAAAGTCTTCTGACTTAAATCCACTGTAAGAGATGCATTTCACGTGATAATCGTGCACACATGTTCAATCACAGGCAAAGACCTGAATGAAGATCAAGTCACATGATTTACTTTTTTTGTCTTTAGTCTATTCTATTATATTCTGTTGAATGGTATTTTATTGAATTCTATTCCACTACTTTAATGTTGGCTGCGACCCACAAAATACATTTTATGACTTAATTGAAAAAAATAAATAAAGAAGGCTTTTTTGTGAATTTCCTATGCAGGGTTCTATGTAGTTTAAGCTTCTTTCAACTACTCTGAGCCTTATCAAAGGGAATCAAAGAGATGTGGACTGGACTAGAATGGATCTGAAGCACCAAGTAGTTTTTGAACATAGATCCTACATGGGTCCAAACCCTTGTTTTATTGTTTATTTCATTATCATCAGGAAAGACTAAGGAAATATCAATGTGCTAATTTATTCCAGAAAAGGGTGGCAAACCTCTCCGGGATCAATGGGTACAGTACTATACCTAGAATGCTCTAGGAAAAGTCTATAAGGAATGAGTTGGAGCCCAGCAACAGAGCTAGTTTCTCCATGAAGATAAAATATTTGAATTGAGTCAGGCAAAAAGGTCACTCTGATACATCATGCTCAAAATTCAACCTCAGATACTAATTCCCTGAATGATCCAGGTAAGGAAAACATAGGATGTCATAATTTCAGGCTCTGTCAGATATTGGCTGTGGCTAATTCAGATCCTGGGAGTCTGACCTCACAGGGAACAT